AGGATCCCAGTTAGTGCTCGTGAATGGAAGCAGAAGATATCCGCTCCTAATGTTAGTTTTGTATCTGATCGTGACAAGAACCTAACTTGGAGAGATATCACTTAGCATTTCACATTACAAGCAGATGATGCTTTGAAGGAGCTAGCGAGGGATTGGACAATGAAGAAGATGGCAACATTGTTTCAGAGTTGGAAGAAGACATTGTATAAAAAGTTTATCTTGAAGAATGCTACGCCGGATTTCAATGCTAAGGCGTTTGTCAAGTTGGAGTCCCATTGGGATGCCTTCGTAGAATACAAGACATCTCAAGACAGTGAGGAACGTGTGATGAGGAATCGACAGAATGCCCGATAGAAGCAATACCATCATCGCATGGGATCAGGTGGTTATAGGAGTGCTATTCCCAAGTGGCAGAACCTAGAAGCAGAGATTACTGCCAAGGAATCATACCTAAAACAATAGAGAAGAACTGGCCTCAACGCGAAGAATTGGTTCTACGCTCATGGGGAAGCCTAGACCCCATAATCGGCAAGCTAATTTTCGGCCAAAAATTGAGAGAGCAAACACAGAGACTAGCTCGTGCTAGGGAAGAAGGCGATAGTGGTGTTTTCAAGCCCAGCAGAGAGAAGGATGAATTGACATATGCCCTAGAGAATCCCGAACACGGTGGTGAACAAGAGGCTATGGGGCGGTTCCATGGCTACACGCATTCCCAGTGAGACAAGGATACCTCTGTAAGCCGCCCGGAGAAAGAAGGATGAGGAGGCGAAGCGAATCCGTGCATTGGAGCAATTTGTTGATGAGTCACGACAAGCATTGCTTGAATCACGTGAAACGAGAAAAATCTCTTGAGGCAAGAATGCAGGAGGAGATCAAGAGGCAAGTGCAGCTAGCAATGAGTCAAATGCAATCGCAATCAACGCCGGAGTCACCATTAGCCCCGTTGGTCGGATGAAAGCGGTTGTGCTTCTCTGAGCTGCCGATTATTCAAGACGACGCTGGGTTGCGCTTCCCGTTGATGACATTACCGAGCCTCTAACAACATGTGAGCTGCACATTCCGGATGGTAATAATGCATCAATCATGGTGGTTGTCGGGGTTGTATCTCCAATAGACCGAACGAAGACACCAAGAATCCATGGGTCAGTTATTCAACCTAGATATGCTAGCGTCTCGGTCGATAGAGTATTCAAAGGTTACATCAATATTCCTCTTGACATTGAAGGCGGTGATGGGGAGAAGACACTAGGAGAAGCAGAGAAGACATTTATTCAATGGGCAAGCGCTTCATCATCATTCTGGGCGCCACCGCTTCCCCTACCTCACCCTAGGTATGAATGAAAGTGAATGAAATATTATTTTCCATTAATTTTCTATTGGCTTCAAAAATAATTGACACACAACTTGTTTTTGTAGCAGGTCTCCCCTGACCTAGCCTAATCATTCATTCCCCATCTCATCATCACAGGCGTCATGGGGCGAGACGACTTCATCCCACAGCGATCGCTAACTCCTACACTTGGTCCCATCGCCTCCACAATGATCTCCAACTCCTACACCGCCCCACCGCCTCCACAACGATCTCCAACGCCTCCACGACGGTCTCCACCAACACCGGCCTCATCGCCTCCACGCCGGTCTCCAACACCGCCCCCACCCCTCCACAAATGACGCTTTACAAAGACGTCTAAGGTCCCGGTGGCAAAGAAGACCCCGAGAAAAGAGTTATTTCTCAAGAAATACTTCTGAAAAGACCGATGAGCAAATAGCGGTGAAGAAGATAAAAAAGTGAAAGTTTTTTTATAGATATCAAAAACAAGAGTCAAGCGAAGCTTAAGGAGAAGCCGTACTTTTACATACCACGAGATGTGCTGAGGCAGAAGGTCGATGCTCACAAGAAAAAGATGATTGAACTTCGTAAGCCTTCGCCACTATCAGACTATGACCGCTCCCTCGTGAAGTCACATGATGCAGATAAGAAAAGGAAAAGAGCATCAGGGAAGGATGTCCCACAGCTCGGACAACAGAAGCAACCAATGCAAAATCTTGTTGTTGCTAATGAATATGGTTCCAACATAGAAGTCTATCGACCAGACAACTCTGGAGAAGTGTCGGTTTAAGCCCTTAATGCTTTTTTGAAGATACTAGTTTAACCTTGGATCAATTGACGGGCAAAGCTCTAATCCAGAACCTGGAAGTTGATACCTGGAAGACTTATAAATATGGCAAAAGTCTGTACAACCCTGCGGCTCTGAATGAATTGGATACGCAAATGTACTTGCTCAATAAGTGGTACATACAAGCATGTGGCAGGGGTGAGGAGTGGATCTTTGTCAGATTTAGAGACCATCATTACTTTCGTGGCGATGACATCTTACATATTAGTTTCGAAGAATTGCATCAACTATGCCACATGGACGCTCTGGACAAATCAATCATTAGCTCATTTTGTTTGTAAGTGATTCTTACTTTTATTTAATAAACTCACTTCCATGCGTACGTGTATATAATTATCCTCACATGTAACTTATATTTATATACATATTCCAGATGTCAGAGCTCCAAAGAATACAAGACACCAGTGTTTGCTTCATTGATCCTTATATCATATTCAAAACCGATATTATTCTCAAGGAGCGGTGGGTATCTGAAGCACAGAAGAATATCATGAGGTTCTTCGTGAAGCAACATGACAAGACAACAATACTTTTCCCGTACAGCTTTGAGTAAGTGTTAATAATAATGTAGTCTACACATTTTATGTAATATCAATACAACTTATATGCATGTACGTGTGTGTATAAACCAATGTAGGTTTCATTGGATACTCATTGTCATTGAGTTAAACTCAAGTCGGTTAGTAATCTTGGACTCGAAGAGAAAAGAGCGGGCACTATACCAAGATATGATAGACATTATCCAGGGGTAATTTCGATCTCTCGCGCACAACTATTATTGAATAGACTTTGTCATAATTTATTAACGATCGTACATTATTAGTCGCACAGAGCTTGGAAAGAGTTTATTCGGTAACACCGCAAGGATTGTAAGGCACCACTTAATGTAGTTGAAATACCAGTAAGTTGTACTATATATACTTTCCCATGTGTTTAATTACTATATCGTATTTCAATTTACGTGTGAGATTATGAGAATAATCTTCTTCTCGTACAGTGGTGTTTGCGGCAGCAACCAGGTAATAACTTGTGTGGATACTACGTTTGTAAATTTATCACTGCGCACATAAGAAGAACTCCTAAAGATGTCCTCAGAGTACGTATATATCAATTTTTTATTTTTTTTAAATGAATATATATATATATATATTAATATTTTTCCTTTTATTTCAAATGCAAGACTGAATGGTTGAAATAAAGGGTAATGCAAAAAGATCATCTAAAAGCAGTTCAAGAGTCAATAGCAGGATTTCTTCTAGAAAAAATGCTAAATCCCAACGGCGAGTTCTACTTTGATCCTAAGAAATAAATGGTGTAAATTAAATGTTTATTGATATCGTTATTTTCGAGAACAAGATTATGAAAGTGTTGTATATATATATATATATCTATAATATATATAGGTTCATACTTTATTCGAATATAATAATGCTCGAGATGAGAATTAGATGTAATTATATGCGTGCGTGTATTTATATTAGCAGCGTAGAATACGTACATAAAAACATATTATATATTAAACAAATACGTGTAACTGAACTGAAAACAAATTAAACAAAAAAAAAAAAAAAAAAAGAACCTTTAGTCCCGGTTGGGATTACCAACCTGCACTAAAGGGTGCGGCCACGTTTGCTCGGCTGGAGGGCCTTTAGTCCCGGTTGGTACACCAACCGAGACTAAAGGTCCCTCTTTAATCCCGGCTCGATGACCCGGGACTAAAGGTGGCACCTTTAGTCCCGAGATCGTTGTCCCGATGCGGTAACCGGGACTAAAGGCCGTTACCGCCCGGGACAACAAGTCCATTATGTAGTAGTGCGAGACAAGCTTTTCCATGTCGAAAACGCCATCCAACATGGCAGATGTTGTCGCATCATATGCGTTGGCGTGACAACGTTGTTGGGTTGTGCCAGTGGGACTGGCGTGATCAAACGGGTTAGATCTGAAAATATTTTTTAGAACGGTTATTAATAAAATATTGATTAAAAAATTAAAAAATAAAAATTCTCCCACAGCGGGCATATTGGCTTCCAGCGGAACCACTTGGAGATGCAGCGTCGGTGAATGGTGTGCGCGTAGCCCGGCAGCTCCACGGCCTCCCCGTACAGCGCGTCGAAGCAGACGCTGCAGTCGGCCTCGCCGTCGCCTCCCGCCACACCATGGTTGTTGCCGACCTCCTTGCACCCCGTCATGACTCATGAGCACCCGGGCCGCGTCGTAAGCACGTGGCGGACCACCGCTTGTAGAGGAAGTCAGCACCCATGGCTCCCGAGGAATGGCACCAGGAAGATGTCGGGAAAGCTCTTTTGCTTGGACTACAAGTAGTGGTAGATAGCAGAGACGTGTAGGTACATTGCCCAAAGCCCCAAACCAAGCGTGTTGGACAGGAAAGAGCAGACGATCGCAGCATGTTTTTTCTCTTTTTTTTTATACAATAATAGTAGTTGTGTTTGAAGAAACCAATACAACTCAACAAGCAATCTGCATGCTAACGTGGAGGAGAAAAAAAAGATAGAGAAAAGAGACGGACCGTAAGCTTCCAGCAAGCTTATGAATGAGTTATAGATGAGCTAACTACTGTATAGATGGAGTGAATATAAGCTGTAAACTTTTCTACATTAGCAAGTACAGTCCAAACCAAAAGACAAACGCCCTATTCGTTTGAGCTGGTTTGACTTATAAGTCATGACTGAAAGTACCGTTAACTAGTTTGATGTGAGAGAAAAGTACTATTCATTAGCTGATAAACCATGGCTTAAAATGAATGCTAGCTAGTCTATCCATGGCGCTCTCCAGGTGTCCAGAGTTCTCCCTTGATCGATCACATCACCTGGCGTCGGTGAACTCGGCGATCTGCTTCTGCAGCTCGGGGTCCAGATGGTTCACCACGTCGCCTCGGCACAGCGGGCACGTCGGATTCCGGCGGAACCACCTGGAGATGCACCGGCGGTGGAAGGCGTGCGCACACCCCGGCAGCTCCACGGCCTCCCCGCGCAGCAGCGCGTCGAAGCAGATGCTGCACTCGACGTCGACGCCGCCCTCTTCCGCCACACCATCATCGCCGATCTTCTTGCACCCAGTCATGAGCACCCGGGCCGCGTTGTAGCGGATGTGCTGGACCACGGCCAGGTCGACCTCGGCGGCGCCGTGTCGGGCCCGCGCCTGCGGGTCCGCGAGGTCGGGTACCACGTCCTCGGGCACGATGGACTCCCACTCGCCGTCGCTGAGGCTCAGGTCCTGCAGCGCCCGGATCGACCTCGGCATGCCGCGGAGCGCGTCGCGGACGCCGTCCGGGACGGCGAGGCAGCTCGCTTCGGCGCCGGCGCCGCCGGCCCCGCAGGGGTACACCCACTCCACCTTTCGCCCGTTGCCGGCGCTGATGTACACGGTCACATGGCACGTCAGGCGCAGCACGAACCCGGGCTCGCCGCCCCGGCTCGGCTCGTTGGTCGTCGTCGTCTGTTGTGGAAAGAAGGCGAGGCATGTCGTGGTCGCCTTGACGCGGCGTTTGATCAGGGACCCGATCGTGCCTTGCGCCTCCATTGCTGGCACCACCATCTGCTACTTCTAGTTGCAACTTGCAAGAACGGGTTGATCCGTCGATGGCGGGTATCCCCTCTGGCTCCATGCGGCTACCAAAACCATTTCCGATACGACCTCGACTCGAAGACGGGTCCGAGAATCCAAGGGGGAAAAAAAAGAAAAAGCATCCGGCTTCCGAGAGTGATAGTCCGATACCACTTCGAGAGGAAGTGATCCGATCCGACTCCCAGCCCAACTCTACATCGGATCGGTATTTGTCCGCGGGCCCCCAAGTTATCTCGTCAATGGTTCTAGCAGCCTGGGCCCGCGAAGTTATTTCTGATTCGTGGTCAGCCCAGTTCATGATCAAATTGCAAGTTTCCGGGCCCCAAGTCATCTCGTCAATGGTTCTAGCAACCTGGGCCCCCAGTTCATGATCAAATTGCAAGTTTGGTACGTAGTACATGGAAAAAGCAGATTGTTTTGCTTGCATGCGTCACAGTTGCCGGTCTCCTCGGTGTCACCGTGGCACCAGCAGCTTAAAGCATGCTTGTTTTCTTTCCTAGCCTTGCTAGGCTAAGATAGCAAGTTGGGTGCTGTGTTTGAATGTCAAGTTATTTTCGAGACTTGTGTGACCAACACTTGCCTTCCTACCCTAAGAGAGCCAATTTGGCTTTCACGGGCTGGCAAGCTCCTCATTGCCAGACGCCTGTAACAGTGAGGCAAGACAAGCTTGGCAAAACAACCAAGCAAGTCCTAAATTTTGTAGAGGCTAGTTTTTGCATAGCTGGCCTATGAAACCACTTCTTAGAAAAGCTTTGCACAAAAAAGCCATGTTTGGCATGTGGCTTACCTTTGGGTTTCCTTGTGCCGACTTACACGAGGAGAGGGTGGAGCGGCGGTGCACTTCAGCGACATCCAAGGGGGGCCACAAACTAACTATAGGTTTTGTTTAATAAGTGAAACACATTAGGCATCCGCTCTTTAGCTAGGCAATAAGGATCGGAGAGAGAGACGATCATCACTCATTCTTAAAAACCAGCATTCTTAAGTTAAAATCAAAGAGTTAGGTGGAAAAAGGCATGAGCCCCCCATCTCGATTCTCCTGTTGCTGGCGTGCATGCGAGTGAAAATATGAGAAACTCCTTGCAAGTTGTTGCCTAGAAAATCCACCCACCCATTCATTTAAGAGAAATCAAGCCAAAATGAGCTTACTGAGAAGCTTTCTGTTTGGTCCACGAAGCGCTTTTCTTATAAGTTAACTAGTTAAGTGGCCCAATAAGCATCTAAACACGGCCTACATCTCCACCAGGGAAGACTAAAGCTTTCATTTTGCAACCAGTAAGCATTCCCGCATATTGTCTATCTAAATGGTTATGATATTTTAGGAGTATATATTATTGTCTTATATTAAGGTCTTGTTTCATAGGGATTTTTTTTGGAAAATGACTTTACCTAAAAACAAATCAGAGAAGCCACATTTAGGTGGTCTGACCCTTTTGATACAAAAAAACATCTCACCTCTTTAACTTCTCTCAAGGGGCCCTTCACCTATAATAAGCTAACATTCGTCATAGCTTAACCCAATAAACTAGAGAATCTAGAACTTAAGCCTCTCGAGAAGCCTGGCCAAATAGAGCCCTAAATAGTATTAGAGTATCACATGAAATAGATTCTCACCTATATAATTATGGCAACTTTCGTAGGCAGAAATAGTAGATACGTAGGTTTCTCTAGTTTTACAAAGTTGCAAATACTAATTCAAGGAATCAATAGGGAAAAGCAATAGTGAGGAGCTTTTGTATACAATATTGCCCTCTAGCTATGCAAAGACTTAGAATTTTATATATTATAATACAAATAGTAGTGTGGTTCAAAACAAAAGTGTTGTTATTGAGTTAGTTGCGTATTCCAGTATTCAAATCAGATTTTACGCAGGCAGACTAATCCTTCTGATAATGATAGTGGAATGCTTTACGTGGCAAGCGCTAACATGTGAATGACACAAGTGTAAAAGTGTCCTTGCGCATGCGAATGTAATCATTTCTTGCATCTCTCGAGATGTTTTTTTTTGGTAGTGCGCTTCCACACCGATCCTCACTTCGCAACTTGACACTTGTCGGACAACATTATCCTTCAAAAAACATTTTTTTGCAAAATGTAGACGCACTGGCTACGCAGGATGCTCAACACAAGATGGCTTTACGAGGGATGAACACAAAACTCTTCTTGTTCTCGATCTCTCAGGAAAAGGAATGGTCCCTAGCTACAAACTTTATTGTGAATTGCAAACTATACCTAACTTGCTGTGCTTTTTGTGCTCTTCGATTCAACTTTTCGTGTTGTACGTGCCGTTGGGGGACTTGAGTTTAATATGATCCATCATAGGTCCTAGGACAGTGGGCAAACACACCTTCTGTCTACACCTGAGAGCAATCAAAATCCCCTTCCCCCCAAAATATTTTTCACAATATATATGTAGTTACTTTCAAGTATTCCTAGGCTCCAACAAATTGAATTAATTCAAATAATGGAACTGCTGTACATCATGTGTCTGTTTTTGTGTTTCTCTCGGGTGACGAATCTCAGTCATCAGATCTTAATCGTATGACTATGGACTTATGGAGTCATCTTCAACCTCAGGTCATCTTCTTCAGTGTGCGTGCCTGCAAATCGCGAGCTCGCCCCCGCCTCCTGCTAGCCTGCCCTCTCCTCTTAGCAACCTCCCGACCACCACGTCTAGTCCCGCTGCTTCCGCCACACTAACCTGACATCGTCGGGCCATCTCCATGCCTCCCCTGCCCCTCCGTGGCCCAACCGCCATCCACATCCACCGGTAGCTGCTGGCGGATCTGCCGCCTCTTGTTGCTCTGCCTTCTTGTCTGCCTCCTTCTTTGGGTCGGTCTGCCTCTCTCGAGCCCTTTTATAAGGTCCGTAGGGCACATTTTTTCTAAGGTAAACCTCCATCCTATATCTAAACCGATCAGAGAAGAATTCAATTTTTAGGCACCTGTAGTATAGGAAATATGAGAATATAATCCTTGCTTCTTTTAAGCGTCTGCAGTATAAGAGTTTTGTTCAAACAAACACACATACGTTGCATGTAAACAAACTATACACACACACAGACAGACAGGGATGAGGTAGTTACACTGTTATTGCTACTTCAGGTATGCAGATTGAAGTCGTACGCACGTATATATAGAACTTATAAAGAAACAATAGATGTAATAGCACAGTTACAAGGTTTTGAATTTTTTAAACATGGACAAAAGGAACATCACTCCATGGCATGCTTAGATAATAGAGAGAGCTCTTGCAATCTTAGGATCAAAGTGATCGATGGGCAAGAGCCTTTAATTTGATTCTGCAAGAAGCTGTGTGCTCGATGCACACACAAAAGTATTTAATCTCTATCATCTTGCTGGTTGCTACCTTGAAAATGGATAGCTCAGCCCTCACATCAATCTGAATGGCCCTGCTGTCGCGGCCACCGCCGCCACTGTTGAGTGCCGCCGCCAGCTCCTCAGTCTCGTGATACCTCTGCAGGTACCTGCGCATGGCGTCGGCATAGTGGTCGAGGCCAAGGCTCCTCATGGCATGGCAGATGTCATCGCCGTTGATGGTCTTCCTCCTCTCCCGGCGGCACCGCTCGGAGGCCTCTCCAGTGACGAAGCCCACGAACTCTGTTGCACACTCCTGGATGGTCTCCTTGGCGTGCTTTGAAATCTTGACCTGCGGAGGGAGGGCGTCCTTCATGATCCGCCCAACATTGGCAATGGGCAGGAGGTTGTTGTCATGCCTAACGCCGTCGTTGGCATCTTGTGTGGTTGAACTTGATGCCCTAGAGTGGCTTTGGGGTTGGGGCTGTCCAGATTGGGCAAAACCAGTGAAATTGATATTATCACTCATCTCGACGAAGAGTGGTATGGTGTGTATGCAACCTTGCTTGCAATGAGCTATATAGCCTCATGCTTTGGACAGAAAGCTATCTTCTCAATTCTGACTATTTTGAAGTAAAGTTTAGCCTTGTTTATGCATAGAGACACACAAAGGCCTTTTTGGCTTGTTCCTTGAACTTTCTCGGTTCTCTCAAAAAGTGTACCATGTTATATCAAGGGGTAGGACAACTGGAGTTGTCTGCCACACCATACCACACATGTTAATGATTCGGTAAATAAAAACAAAATGTGTGGCCCTACATTTTATTCGTCTCTGTAATTGTTAAATATACAACTTGTTGGGAAAATATTGGTCTTTCGACCATCCATATATCCAAATTATATTTTCCAGGTGGAGAGGAACGTATACACATTATATATTTCAATCAGAATATGTATATATGTTGTTTTTTTTTGCCAATACCGCAATACGAGACAAGGTGTGTATGTGATCTTCTTTGCAACAAATCTATATAGCTCGGCTCTTAGGATACAAAGCCATATTAGCCTTATCGATGTATTGAGACGCGCAGAGGTTTTTTTTGGTTTGTTGTTTGCTTTGTTCACCGACTTTCTTAGTTCTCTAAAAGAATGTACAATGTTATATCTAGAGATAGGGCAGGAGTTGAGTCCACCATACCATGCATATTAATGATTAGGTAACTAAAAAACAAAATGTGTGGCCTTACATTTTATTCGCCTCTCTAGTTGTTAAATATATAGCCAATTTGTTGGGAGAAATGTCGGTCTTCCGTTCTGCTGTGCCATAATTTTGTGTGGAAAAGGATGCAAGTAGTTATATTTTCCTGTTATAGGGTTTATAACATGTATTATGTGTAATAGTATCTTCCGCCCCCTCCATGCATGCAAGCTAATGGTTAACGTACATACACTGTCCCGTTAACAGTTGATCATAAGTTCATAACTAGATTGCCTCCTAAACTCGATTCCAGTTAATCAGACAATAATATCATCCGTGAGGGCGAAGAAAATACACTGGACAGATGACGGAAGGATAAATACACACATATATGTACATGTGAACAGACCATTCACAAGGACCAGGAACAGGAAGGCACA